AAATAAATTTTTTAGAAAAGTTATCTTTTTCAAGCATGTTGGAGCATAAAGGAAACAAGAAAAAGAGTTATATATGCAAGTAAGATATGTTGTCCACTACTTTCCTCTTAACAACTAGCTTCGACAATCCCCCCTCACACATAATTGTTTGGTTTTTGGATTATTGCTTCTTTTTTTTTTAAATAAAAAATAATCTTTGAATATCACATTTTTACAAAATTTCAGATGGAATAATACAAATTTTAAAATAAATTTATTAACGGACATACAATTTGTACTACTAAATTATTGATTTAATAATGTGTTTTAACCTCGCAATGATCGCCAAATTAGTGAATTGGGATAATAAGTAAGAATTGATTGCTTGATTTGGGTTAGGTCATAGTACATAAAAATAAATTTATACAATAGTGTCAAATTCAACATAATTTAATTGGTCATCAATTTTTATGATTGATATTGATTTTTAAGATATATTTATCCAATATAATTTATTAGAGAATTTTTTATACAAAACAATGTTAAGTTTAGGCGTGTTTGTTCTGAGTTATTAAAGTAGAAAAGTCGATATAACTATATTAAATTCATGAGTAGCATACTAATTTGTTGAATAATCATACGTTCTCAAAGAAGTGGGATCAAAATTTACATCAAATTTAATCGATTCTATAGTATTTCAAACATAGAATATGATTAAAACATATATAACTATAATTACTAAAAATATAATTATATATACTTTAAATTTTATGGATTTATATATGATAATTATAATCATATATTTTAAAATCATATTTACATTATCATATGGTTGTATGTGTTATTTATTTATTTATTTATTTATTAAATATGTTCATCTAAAAGTTTGCATTATGCTAGGGTGCTGGTTGCCCTAATTAGCACCATGTTGATTAACTTAATTAATACATTAAATATAAATCGACAATACATGTTATATAGATTGTTAGTAGGTACCCTTCTATTTTATATTATATTTATGACGTGTTAAACTACCTTATGTGTATATACTTAATTGTAAAATATGGTGTACGGACTATTGTCATGTACTGTCAATTTATACGCTAAATTACACAAAATCTATATGTAGTTTCATGAAATTGCGCTAAGTCCACTATACTTCTAAAACTACGTCAAACTCCTCATAGTTTCATAAACTCTACGTCTAACCTCTCGGCGGTCTTTATTTAACGGTATTTGACCAAAATACACTCAAACTGCGAATAAATTATAGAATCTTAATTTCTAAACCCCTAAAAATACAAATATATTCATTTTTTATATATATATTTAGCCTTAAAAAATAATAAATATACTCAAAAATAGTTATTTTTCTCGGATTTTAAGAGTTTATTTTTATTTTTTTTAGACTAAATATATGAAAAATAAATATATTTGTAATTTTAGGGGTTTAGAAATTAAGATTCTAAAATTTATTTGCAATTTGAGAGCATTTAGGTCAAATATCGTTAAATAAGAACTGCCGAGGGGATTAGACGCGGAGTTTATGAAACCACGAGGGAGTTTGACGCAGTTTTAAAAATATGGGGGATTTGGCACAATTTCGTGAAATCACAGGTGGATTTTGTGCAATTTAGCCTAATTTATATCATATATTTATATTTATTAGCATATATCTTATATTGTCAAATTATACTTCATGTGTTATATGTAAATTTAGTGTGTGTCGTCAAGACAATAACATCAGTGACGAAACTAGTGTCTAAATCTCCGGAGGTAAAATATTATAATTTATTTAAATTTAACTAATAAATTTAAATAAAAAATGATGATATAATTAGATATGAATGGGGGCAAATTGTATATAAATACATAAAAATTACACTAAAAAATCATAAAAAATCGGATTTGGGGGTCAAATACACCCCCCAAGCCCGAGTAATGTATCATAGATAACATAATATATCGAAACATGTGAATATGAATGTGTAACAAAACAAGATTAAAGGAATCTTTAGTCAAATAAACCTATTTTTTAACTTTGGCATTTGCATTATACATTGATTATGCACATTTGTAAATATTTTTTTATGTTTTGAAAATTATATTTAAATAAAGAATATTCAATATGGATTTTATTTCGTATAAAAGAAAATTTTACATAATATATATACACATAATTAAAATAAAATACTTTCTAAAAATATAGGGAATTTAAAATATAAATAAATTTATTTATTCAAATGAGTGATATAAATAAAAAAAAAATGACGAGTGGATCCTTCTTAAAAAAAGTAATTAAGAGCCAAAAAAATGTGAAAGTAATACAAACTTGTGTTCCAACTGTGAAATAAACATATTCGAAAAATAGTTTATTGTAGTATTAGGATTTGGTTGGTTTGTAATATTTTGGGTTTGAGTTTTTTATTTAATTAGTATTATTAATAATCGTGTTGGTTGAATATTAAAAAAAATAAATTGGAGCAAAAAACAAACAAACAATAGCAAAAAGCTCTCTAAACATATAGTTTCAAATAATATTTTACATTGTCTATCAATAATTACACACAAAAAAAAAAAATCACTATCAAATAGGCATTTTCATTAAAAATATAAAATATAAAAATATATATATTTTTCTTATATATTATATACTATATCACATTCAGCACCTATTTACAAAATATTAAACACTTATATTTTATTCATTTTTTTACCATTTTCAAAAACTCACAAAAACTTCTATACAGTGTTACTGCCTATGTTATCAAAGTACAACATTATTATTATCCAGTGTGCACTTTCGGGCAGCAGCTGCGGTTCCCACATATTAAAAAAAAATAAAAAAAATAAAAAAAAATAAAAAAAAAAGAAGGTACAACCTTATTACTTTGTGTTAGTTACATAAATATGGATTAGTTATCATGATTGAAAAATTAATATCCATGAATAAACAAAAATAAACCCTAACCCCATTCTCCTTGAATCACTCCTGAAATAGAGATATAATAAATCCAATTAATTGATAAATAATATTTCCTCATTCCATAAATTATTTGGGACGTCAAATAACTATTGTTTTATTTTTTTTTAAACACAAATTTTACTTTTTTTTACCCTTCATTTTATTTATCACTTTTACCTTATCAAAAAAGATAAATTTGTCAATTTATACAAAAAAAAAAAAAAATCTAAAAAACCGTGCAAATATACTTTAGAAAAATTATCAACAGACGGAGGGAGTATTAGTGATTAAATAATCTATTTTCATTTATACATCATGATACTCTTTTTAACTACACATTTTGGAAAATAAAAATTATATATATATATATATATTGCAAATTTAATAGACTAGTTGGACTTGTGACCGTGAGGTCATAAGTTCAAACATCCGACGATTTAGGTCACCTGCTACACATGGTTCGCCTAGTGTGACTTTTCCGTCGAACCTGGTTTGCAGAGTATTAGGTTTGGCCGGGGGTTTACCCAGTGTGCACTTTCGGGTAGCGGCTGCGGGTTCCCACAAAAAATAAAAAAAAACATTAATGGACTAGTACATACATTAAGTTCATAAAGTTCCTACATGAACACATAGCACATGATTCATTCCATTGAGTTGATTATTTGTATCTACTTATGCAACACATTATGTTATCTACCTAATCAATCATGCAATTAGCCTATAACCATAATTAAGGAGGTACAATTAATGCATTAGCTAGGACAAAATTTTGAATTTATTTTTCGATAAATCACTACTCAACCCAATAAAGTAACACATTATCGAAGATAAATTTACGAAAATAATTCCCTAAATAAAAATATATCTCTCGAAATAACAATGCACACAACCCTTGATATAACCGATTGTCGGTCCATTCCTCTTTCTTTGTGATAAAATTAACTCCGAAATTCCATCTTGTATATAAAGATATAAGTTAGAAAAGTAAAATTTATTTAACCTCTATATATATTTAATGAGTATAGAATGACCCCTTTATTGACTACTACATAGGGTAAATAGGAAGATTTATAATTTAGTTAAAATAGTAGCTAAGTATAATATGACTTCTTTGGGTAAATATATATATATATATATATATTACTATAAAGTAAATAGTGTAAAATAGAATTGGAAACATATATATAAACAAGACTTATTGGCTCACATGTGTGAAATTTTTTCATGTGCAATTTATTTTTGTCACATTGATTAGATCACATATATTAAGTAGGACGCGGTTTTGTTCTTTAATTTATGTCCAATAGATTATTAATTTATTTATTTTGAAAATATATAAATATAAATATATATATAGGGTAAATTATATAACACCCCGTTTAATTTTAGTAAAAATGCATAAAATACATTGTGTTTTATTTACAGCGTGAAATCCCCTTGTATTAATATAAAGTTTACACGGAACACTCTATTTGTAAAAAACTGATGTTTGGTTCCAAATAAAGACCTAAATTACGTAAGTTTATACAAATAAAAAATGTAAAATATCTTAAATAATTTTTTTAATAAAATAAATAAATAATTGATTAATCCTTCATTTTATAGTTTTTTGGAGACAAATTGTTATCTGATTTTTATAAAAACTATAAAAATAAATGATTGATCAATTATTTATTTATTTTATTCAAAAAATTATTTAAGATATTTTACATTTTTTATTTGTATAAAACTTTCGTAATTTAGGTCTTTATTTAAAACTAAACACCAATTTTAGACAAGAATGAAGTTTCGTGCAAAGTTTATATTAATACAAGATAGTTTCACGCACATTTAACTAAAATAAATAAAAGTGTTATATAATTTTATATATATATATATGAAAAGCTGTATGTATGTATATGTTGATGTGTATGAAAGAATAGAGGGCTGACTTTTTGTAAGCATATGAGTAAATGCTGTTTTGCTGTCCGGTTTTGACTCTTAGAAGAAGAAGAAGAAGCCCATCCAATAATCTATTCGATCTACACTATACTCTCTCTCTATACTCTACCCTTTTACCTCTTCAATTCTCTCTCTCTCTCTCTCTAGCTTTTTCTTTCTCTCTCTCTTAGCTGGTCAAGCCGCAGCTGGAGAAAGGGTCTCTTGTCTATATATTCCCTCACCCCCCCCTCACTTGGACTCTTGTCTTTCTACATTAAAACTACAGTCCCATCTTCTTCTAGAGTTAGAGTGAGAGAGAATAAAAATAGAAGTAGAGAGAGACAGAGGATATGGGAAGGCCTCCTTGCTGTGACAAAGTAGGGGTGAAGAAAGGGCCATGGACGCCCGAGGAAGACATAGTCTTGGTTTCTTACATTCAAGAACATGGCCCTGCAAACTGGAGATCTGTCCCAGCTAATACAGGTAATAATTCAATTCGATTTCATTGGATTTTGAACAAGATTTGCTGTTAAGGCTTCCTTTTTTTTTTTTCTTTTTTTTTTTTATTTTTGGTTGGTGGTAGCCATTAAAGCTTAGCGGTGTGTGCAATAAATATCTCTGCAACACCACCAGCTCATATTCACATCTCCCTATTCGAAAATTAATCGGTTTTTTTTTCTTCCCGACCGGTCCGGTTCTTCTCCAGGCTTGCTCCGGTGCAGCAAAAGCTGCCGGCTCCGGTGGACCAATTATCTCCGGCCGGGCATCCGCCGCGGCAACTTTACTGAACATGAGGAGAAGATGATCATCCACCTCCAAGCCCTCCTCGGAAATCGGTATAAATTTTTATATAAAGATCAAACAATTGATGAAAAATTAGGGTTAGATCTGATGGTGGAAGGAACCCTAATTTCGAAATTCCAAAAAACCCTAATTGATTAATTTCTCGATTTGTTCGATGTAAAATTTCAGATGGGCAGCCATAGCTTCGTACCTTCCTCAAAGAACCGACAACGATATCAAGAACTACTGGAACACTCACTTGAAGAAGAAGCTGTTAAAGAGCCAAGAAGCAAAATCAGGGCAAATTGGGAACAGTTCATCGTCGTCTTCATCAGAAAGTAAAATGATTTCAAAAGGGCAGTGGGAGAGAAGGCTTCAGACAGACATCCACACAGCCAAACAGGCGTTATGTGAAGCTCTCTCCCTCGACAAATCAGCTGTCTCCTCGTCGAATGCGACACTATTTTCTTCAATGGATCATCGGACTATTCCCCCTCAGCCATCTTCAACCTACATCTCCAGCACCGACAACATCGCCCGGATGCTCGAAAACTGGATGAAGAAACCCCCAAACACACCACAGTCATCTGAGAGCACAACTTCCATAAACAACATCAACAACAACAACAATCAATCGGTTAATCTGCCGAGCTCGAGCCCCAGTGAAGGCACTGCATTCAGCAGCTTCAACTCCCCGAATTCGGATGTCACGCAATCGGTGTCGGTGGAGGATCAAGAAGTTAAATTTGAGGCTGCAAACCTCACACAAGATCGAACTCATGGTGTGATCAGCAGCAAGAATGCTTTGGTGGATGTTCAGACGGAAATGCCCCTCAGCTTGCTCGAGAAATGGCTGCTCGACGAGGCCGGTGCGCAGGGGCAGGATGGGGATTTCATGGACATGGCTGGCCTTAGTGCAACTGCTGATTTGTTTTGAAGATATTGCAAGAAAAAAAAAACACATCTGCTCTCTCTTCGGAACAAATTAGCAGTTCAGTTCAAGTTAGGTTCTCATCAAGATCTTCTCTTAATCTATGAATCATATATATATATATAAATTACTACCAGCACATATATATATACATATATATCTTTCCTTAATCAAACTTTGAACTGATATAGTTTTGAATTAATCCCATATGTCAATTAGCCCCCTGAAGCCTGATGATGATCAACAGAAAGATGGTCCCTTTTGCTTGAAGAGAGACTGAAGTTGTAATTACTTGTAGTTTGTTAATTAATTAGGGTTTGTAATTGGGATCATCCTTAAGGAAAAAAAATAAAAAAATAGAAAAAAGAAAACCCACCCCCTCCCTACCCACCCACCCCACCCCACCCCACCCCATATAAATATATATATATAAGTCAAGAGATGTGCTGGATATATATAGCAGCAATAAATCAAGGCACAGTCTCTAGCTTAACATGATTGTACCTTGTGCATAGTTTGGTGTACATTTCTGAGAAATGAGAAACTAGGGTTTGACTTTTAGCATGCAAACTACTTTATGATTGGCGGCTTTAATTACGTAATTAATTAATTAATTTCACATTGGAATTGTGTGACTGTGAGTGTTCATTCAATTATTGTTGGGATCTTTTTTATGATTCGTGCCTAAAACCATCTTTGTGTTCCACGAAATTCACTTCTCTCGTGAACACCAAATTAAAAGTAACACTACTGTCACCTGTTCGATGTTTTAGAATTTCGAAACATGCTTCTAACTAGGCATTGGCTAAAGTAATTTCGATACCAAGAAAAATTATTTTAAATAGCCATCAATTCAAGCATTTGGCCTTAAAATTTATTCTAATCAAGAGGTAATTTTATTAGGGGAAGCATTCGGATTTTCGGTTCAATCCGAACCGATCCAATCCAAATTTTTTGAAAAAATCAATCCGATCGAACCGAAAATCCGAAATCCAAACTAAAAAATCTGAACCAATCCGAAAATTCGAAATTCTAACTTTGTTTATTATTTTTTTAAAATTTTAGATTTTTATAATTGTTTTATCATAATAAATTATTTATATAATAAATAAAAATAAGTATATTAAAATATAACTAATAATTTTGAATTTTTATTTTTATTAAAATATTAAATATATAATAAAAAACTATATTAAAATATTATATTTCGTATTTCGGATTGGTTCGGATTTTTAGTATACCGATTTTAAAACCCGAAGTTTATAAAATTTTCAATCCAAACCAATTCGAAAATCCAAAATATCCGAACCAAATTTTAAATTTCAATTTAGTTCGGATCGAATTTTCAAATTTCGGATATTTTGGTCACCCCTAACTTTTATATTTCTTAAGATTAAGGTAAAGTAATTCTTTTTGCTTTCACCTTAATTCAAATTCATATTTTCACTATAAGATCTTTGTAAAGTAGAGGTAACCATTGTTTTATATAAATTACATGTGCCCAAATTCTTTTTTACTATATATTTGATACTCAAATTTGGAATGATTTTTTATACAAAAGAAAAATTATGGACATGAACGAATAAATTATAGGAGTTGTTAAATGTAAGTATGTAACTTTCAAAATTGTGAAATTAATTGGTTTAAGTTCATGTTGAAATGAGCAATGTAGAATTTATGTGAAGTGAAAGCACAGTGTATTTTGGAAATGCAACAGTAAAGAAATGGATCTATTCACATATTTACTTAAACTCTTTAATCTAATCTAATGGTACGTGTGAATTATCTCTTCTGTCAAATGGTATAAAACCCATTTGATGTAAATGAATATACAAAATCAAAAGAATCAAAGATAGGTCGACAAACGAATTTAAAGCTAGATCAGTAGTCAAAAGCTGCGTTCCAGTTTATAGGATGGACTTTGAAGAAACCTTTGCCCTTGTGACAAAGAGTTTCACATTAAGAATTGTTGTTGCTATTACCATCGTTAAAAAGTGGAGCACACAAAAAATTAATGTCAACAATGTTTCTTTCATGCTACTCTTGAGAAGAAGTTTATCTCAAACTTCATCTCGATTATCATGTTGGTCCAAAACAGGTGTGTAGACTATGAAAATTTATCTATGGGCTCAAGCAAGCTCTTAGAATATGATACCAGACATTGAAAGAAAAGATCTTCCAATTTGGATTAAGTCGTATAGTTTCAATAACTTACTCAGAATGTTTTTTAGTTAGTCTTCGTATGATCATTATTTGTTTATTAAACATAAAGGTTTTGAACTTACGGGCTCGTGTCCTCTGCTAGTTCAGCAAGTAAAAAACTTCCTACATTATGCATGTACCGTAAAAAATTTAGGTGATGCCAACTTCATTATTGGGATTGAAATTAAATAAGTTCGTAATAAAATTGATTTATCTCAGTCCAAATATATAGATGATATTCTATAATATATGAAGATGTTGGATGCTAAGTCCATACCTACTTATTTACTGGTTTGAGACTTTAACTCTATATGGGAAATCTTTTTCTGATGCTACATTATATAGGAGACTTATTGGTAGAGTCGTCAAAATGGGTTGAGTTCGTCGAATTGGCCCGCCCCGCTTCACTTTTATAGAAGGTTGGATTGTAATTTTTTAAACCCGTTAATATGCGGGCTTAAACGGGCCAATCCACGCGGGTCGTGGGTCGAGAGTGGGTTAGTCCGCGGACCAAGTAAATATAATAATTAGTACTCGTCTATCTCAACTAAATGTATTTTTTTTTACCAATTTTTTACTATCATATTAAAAAATTATACTCCCTCTGTCCCATTGAAAGGTTACCATTTTCCATTTTCGTCCGTCCCAAAACAAGGTTACCATTTCTTAATTTAGTAACTGTACTATTTACTTAACATAATAAATATTCTTTCAACTTACAAAATATTACACAAATGCCATTACTATTAGACCATACTAATAGGGGTATTTTTGTTTTTTTACTATAATTCAATATAATACTAATATTCAAAAATCTACGTGCAAAAAGCAAACGTCATCCTTCCAATGGGACGGAGAGAGTAATAAAAATAATCAAATATTAATATTAGAATATATTTTAATTTTATATAAATTACATACATATCATTATAAATACAATTAATTTATAAATAACGTACAAAGAGTAATAAATATCAAAAGCAATCTTGTACACTTTATTTAATAAATAACATATTATTATTTTTTAATATACTGAAAAGAGATATTTTTAGTTAAGACGAATAAAATATAATTTATATTATCATTAGTTTAATAAACTAATCAATATTGCCTACGTGTTTTTCTTCTGTACCCTTCTTATCAATGTCACTCAAATTTGTTTCAATTTTTCATCATTTATTTTGTTCGTCTTCAATTTTATTGTTTTATAATTTTCTTATTATTATTCTAGAATCTATTCACGTATTTGGGTTGGGTCGGACTAATGAAATTTTAATCCGCCCCGTTGCGGATTGATCCGCAAACAAACCGCTTATTTGCAAGTTATAGTCGGTTGTGGGTCAATCTGTCCCGCTAATCCATTTAGACAGATCTACTTATTAGTAAACTCTTGCATTCGAACTTTTTCAAACCAAATATTGCTTTTACAACAACTTTAGTCAGCTTATGAGTAAACTTATGCAAGATCTTCCTTGCATAAAGCATATTTTAATGTCGATTGGATAGCATGTCTGGATAGCTTAAAATCAATTACATAGTATTGTATTTTCCTTGGTGTAAATGTAATATATTGAAAGGCCAAAAAGCCGTCTACAATTAGTATTTTATCCACGGGAGTTGAATATCGACGCATGTGTATAAACCACATGTGAACTCCTATAGATTTCATACATTATCTAAGTATTGAAAATTATGATTTTACTACCAATTCCTCTGTTATTCGTCAACAAATATAATATGCATATTGTTCGTAATCCTATTTTTCATGAACGGACCATAGAGTTAGCTTGTCATGTGGTCACGAACTAGTTCATCAAATGATTCATTTCTCCTGCACATATTCAAAGTTGTTTCCGACTTGCAAACATCTTCAGTAATACACTAGGGGTGTGTTTGTTTGGGGTTTAAATTTTGAGTTGGAATTTGAATAATAAAAATTTTAAATTTGAATAGTTGTATGATTTGATATAAATAAGTGTTCATGTAATATAAAAATGAATAATAGGTGTTTGATTTGATATTTTTTGGGAGAAAAATAGGATGAATAGTATATTGAAAATCCAATCTCCCAAACAAACACACCAACAAGTCATGTGTTCAAAAATCTTCGAACCAAACATTGTAGTAGCACATTTAGTTCGTGGGGGAAGGGAGGGATATGAAGAAGATACAAATATTTCAGATATCTCGAGGAAGAAGACAACCTAGTGCATATAAGTTTTATTTATTATTTTTTTTTAAATACTGATATTGATATGATTGTTATATACTTATATCTAACATACGTGAAAATATTACTATTAATTATTTATATATTTATTTTTTTAGATAGAAAAAATTAAATGTATACACATAAATATATAAAGCTATGAACATGCTACTACCTGGGAGGGACGAGAGGAGTAATATTTTTGCAGAAAAATTGATAAATTAGATAATAAAATATTGTAATAAACAAATTTACTACACTTCTATTTAGTCCAGCCACCCAGAATATGTTAAATAAAATCAAGATCGTATTTTTGGAAGAAAAATAAATAAATACTCCCTCCGTCCCAATACCGTATTTGCTACACTGTAGACACGGTATTTTAAGAGGAGTGTAATTAGTAGACAATTAAGAATGTATTAGTGAAAATAATTATTCTATAATATAAATAATTATAAATTAAGATTAAGATAACTAATTAGTTTAATTAAAATTTAAAAAAAAATAAAATTTAAAAATTTAAAATGAGATTAAAGTGTGTAATTATTTTAAAAAAATAAAATAACATGGTATGTGGGATGGACAGAAACGGCAACGTGGACCTGGTATCTGGACGGAGGGAGGGAGTATAATATAAGTAGAAAATCATGAGCTGAGAGCCCAATAAAAGGTGAGTGAATTGGTATGGTAAAAATTCATGACTGCAAGATAAACGAAATGAATTCCAAAATTGAGAGTAGGTTTGCTTAATATTTTTTTTTTTTTTTTTGGGTAAATTATTTTTTTAGTCCCGTAATTGGATCTTTTATCATTTTAGTCCCGTAAGTGGAGTCTGTCGCAAACTAGTCCCATAAGTGAAAAAATTTTGTTGATTTAGTCTTCCGGCGCCGGAGACGCCCGTGTGACTCGCTGGAGGCTACGTGTCCGCCAGGTGTCGCTGACCTGGCGAGAGATACCTAGCGGGACACGTGACTTCCGGCGAGTCACACGGGCGTCTCCGGCGCTGAAGGACTAAAACAACGAAAATTTTCACTTAGTGGGACTAATTTACGACAGACTTCACTTACGGGACTAAAATGATAAGAAAGTACAGCTAGCTACGGACTAAAAAAACACTTTACCTATTTTCTATGTGATATATCAGGATATAAAA